AAAAAAAAAAAAAAAAAACTTAAGTTGATTAGGTCTTTGGGGCATATTCTCAAGTTGGATTCAACTGAGTTAGAAGACTAAGGGCACTTAATAAAATGGATTCTGATATCAGAGTACCCCCAATTCTTCTTGCGGTGACGGATGATGGTTGGTCTAGTCAGAATGGTATAATAATTCTAACAGTTGTTATCGTTGCATCATTTCAGTAGTTTGTGACTTGGATGGGTTTTTTCTTTTTCTTTTTTTTTTTTATGTTAATTGCACAATGGGAGACAATTTTCTCATATCTTTTATTATATTTCACCAATTTATCATGTTTTATTTTCAATGAGAAGAGATTACCATTGAACTATTTAGATAGTTGACTATGACTTGGATTAATTAGGCTTCTTAGATGTTTTTTTTTCTTTTTTTTCCATTCTTTTGAATGCTAATATTAACTCGAATTTAAGATGTCAACTCATATTATTAGATGTTGACAGCTACCATATACAGGAGAATTGATTGAGTTTGCTGCATAAGTGTTCAATTCTCCTGAATACATAACCTTTCTGGAAAACACAAATTGACATACAGAACATATATACCCCGCAGTACTGCAAATTACTAATATGCAGTATTAATTAATACCCACTTACCATCTGCATCTGGGTTGAAAGCCTAAAACGACAGTAAATCCTTTTACTAATGTTAATGCATTTGACCTTCTTCACCCAACTTCTTGGAAATTTAGAAATTTGAAATGTTGATTCTTGCAATTGGTTGGTTCCCCATAGAGGATGGGCTTAAAAATGTTGATTCGACTTCCACGTTAGAATGGAAACTTAATATATTATAGATTCCTCTGTGGTGTATCTTTCATCTCAAGAAAACAAAAGAAGAATAGAGAAGAGTAGGAGTTGAAGAATCAGAAACATCTTTGTTTTTTTCTTTAAGTGACTGTTTCTGGGTACTTTTCATCTAATGCAAGCATCATTTGGGCAGGAATTTTCATACTAAAAATATACTTATTAAACTTAGATGCCTTGAAGAAGTTGAGGCATCTTTTTTCTGTCTAGCATCTAATTTATCTTGGCAAAACCATATATTAAACTCCTAAATTAATCATAAATTTGTTATTGAACCCTCAAACTTTAGTTGATGCATATAAGTCCTTAAACTTTACCATCTAAGCAATTTAACCTTTATTCTTATAGTAAATTAGCTCTTGTTTTTATAGTAGTTAAAGAATTAAGGGTTAAATTACTCACATAGTAGAGTGTAGGAATTTATATGCTTCCATTAAAGTTTAAAAGCCCAATAACAAATCTGAGATTAATTAAGGAGCTTAACATATAGTTTTGCCATTTATCTTTTGCTTTTGACTTGTTTCACCAGGATATTATGTCATGGATCGCGCATGTGATTCCTTGTCCAAAAGAATATTTCCAAGAGGAAAAATAGTTGTTTTTGTCAAGAAAAAAAAATTATATATATATATATATATTGATGAAAAGAAGGATAGTCGTACAATAGCAGCCATGGTACAAGTTTAATAAGTTATTATATATATCTTTTGAAAAGAAAACAATACCTGGTGTATTGATTCTTCTTCTTATTCTGTTGGGTCTAAAGAGGTGGCAGCTGAGGGAGGTTTTGTTGTATTTTCTTGGAGCAGTATACACGACAATTATGTGTAAAATTCTTGGGAAATCAGTCCAAATACCAGAAGATTTGAATGGAATATAACCTCTATTAGCAAAGATTATTGCTTTCCCAATGCCCAACAAGGACAGCAATATTTAGTACTATTATACGGAATATATGCCTCTTCTGTACATGCCTGACTCCAGAAAAAAAAAAAAAAAAAAGGAAAAGAAGAAGAAGAAGAAGAAGAAGAAGAAGAAGAAGAAGAAGAAGAAGAAGAAGAGAGGACAGAATGATTGCAATTCCCTTTTTCTTTTTCTATTATTTTATCCCTAAAATATTTTATTTTTCAGTTTTCCTCATACGTAAGGGAGTGTTCAGCTTTTAATTAACTAACGAGTTTGATTGCTTAATTGGAGAAAAAGTTTAAAAAGAAATTAACAAGGGTTTCTTCCTTTTTTCTTTTTAGCCATGACTACTTGCACTTGAGAAGCTCTGAAGAACATTGTGACCCCTGTTGTATCTCCTGCAGAGTGCACAAGACATCATGGTTTCTCTCTAATTCTGTCATACAGTATTTAAGGTCCCCCCTTCCCCCCCCCACCAATTTGTAATTTTTCATCTATTCAATTACCCTTCCTCTATATATTGACTATTGAGTGATACGATTAGGAACTTTTTTTGGCCATCCATATAGTATATAAAAACTAATTAACCTCTTAATTTCATTACTTTTTTCATTTATTTAGATTTCTTGACTCGAATTCAGTACTTATGTTTTTAAAAGCAAGGAATTAATCAAAACTTGTTCATGTGTTTTAAGGTTTGAATAAATTTGTTTCGAATTAATTAAAACTAAAAGATATCAAATTGATAAGTATTAATCCCACAAATTTATCATTGAGACACATGTATGTAACTTGGCCATATAGATAGGTAAAGAAGTTTAAGCTACAGTTTTGATATAAAATAATCTCACGTGGGTTGTTATGAACTGCCTTAGCTAAGTCTTTTTCATGTAACCAACCAAATAACAAAGAGACAATTATATTTCTTTCATACTATTTACCTGTTGACTGGTTAAGCAAATTTCAGGATCCTTCCATGCATATTCTAGTAAAGCATATCCCAAAAGATGAATGTGTCTCCAAAGACAAAACTGGCCAGCTTAATTATAAGGGACCAAGGAATCTCAATCCCATCTACTCTAATTATTTTCTTTTTCTTTGTTTGGTTTTACACAAATTCAGAAGGCAAAAAATAAAAAATAAAAAAAAATCAACTAAGAAATGACCCACCTCTATTTATAGTTCTTTTTCATTTTATACAAACAGAGGAAATGGTTAGTGCCCATTTTCATTCTTTTCCATTCAATCATGAATCTCCCCTCTAAAACAACATTCTGCCTTTTATAATGGCTGGATGAACTGGCAGCAGCATCTTTAGCATCACCCCTTGAGCTATATAATCTTTTTTCTGCTGCCCTTTGGAGCTTTAGTCATCCCAAGAGGACTGTTCTTGTTTCTTATCTTAGCTTTTACTTTTTGAGAGTTTGAGAACTTGATAATTTTCTTGAAATGGGAAGGCAGCCATGTTGTGATAAGGTTGGATTGAAACGAGGTCCATGGACGATTGAGGAGGATCATAAGCTCGTGACTTTTATCCTCAACAATGGTATTCATTGCTGGAGAGCTGTTCCAAAGCTTGCTGGTAAGTGGTAATAATCAATCTACATTCCTGAACTGTTCCAGAGATTGTGCGATATGACTTAAATGTTAGCACACCGTCTGTTTGATGCAGGGCTTCTGAGATGTGGGAAGAGCTGCAGGTTAAGATGGATTAATTATCTAAGACCAGACCTTAAGAGAGGTGATTTTACAGAAGCAGAAGAGGATCAGATCATTCAGCTTCATGCCCTATTGGGAAACAGGTAAGGAACTTCATACAGCAATGCAAATTATGCCATAACTAATTTATATATAGTTCATCTTACTGACTTGGAAGAAAAAAATATTTGTAGATGGTCTAAGATAGCTTCACATTTTCCTGGTCGAACGGATAATGAAATCAAGAATCATTGGAATACAAGAATCAAGAAGAAGCTGAAACAGCTCGGATTAGACCCTCTGACACACAAACCTATAGAGAAAAATGAAGAGAAAAAAGAGCCCGAGCTCGAGCTGAGTTGTCCTAGTAAACAAGGAGAAAGCTTGGAGGTCAAGAAAGAGGAAATTCAACAACCAAACTTGGATGAAACAGAGCATCTTGTAGACAAGTATGAGATGATGGTGGGTGGGAACTTTGATTTTGGGCAATGGTTGGCGCAACAAACAAACACTAGTTCATCTTACAGTTCTTCATTTTCCCTGGAAGAATTGAACTCAAACAACCATTCAATTCAGCAGGAGTCTCTGCAACAATGGGTGGATAGTGTGGATTCTTTCCTTTCTTGGGATGCCTTCAATCAACTAGAAGAAAACATTTTTCTCTTTGGAAAATAGATTTCTCTTTTTCAAAACATACCCTTAATTTCCTGCAGTCATTTTCTTGAGTTTTTCCTTTTTGAACATAAGCAATTTGTTATAATTAAAGGGATTAGGGAGGAGGGGGAAATGGAGAAGGGGTTGATGGGGCTGATGGGGCTTAAATATATATATCCCTACCATAGCCAGTGGCTATACCACTGTGTCCATAACGTGAATTTCAATCTTTTTGAGTTTATTTACATTGTTTGTTATATCGCTTAAGAAATAAAGTTGTTTGTAAAAAGTTAACAAATCATGATTGTCAATGAGTGAAATCAAACATTAAAAAAAAATGGTCTCTTTCTTCATCCTCTTTAATTGTATTCAAATGCACTTTACTATAGTGCTGTACTCACTTTTTTTTTCCTTGCATTTGAAAAGGGAAAAAATTGAGGAGGAAAAAGATTGAGATGGATACTTTTTGAATAAATATATGCTAAGATGAGGTCTGTTAAATAATGCATAAGCAGCCTATAGATGAATTTAAAAAAAAAAAAAAATGCGTTGTGTAATTTAATCTATTAAATCATGTAAAAGTATCTCTTTATTTAGATGGTAAAATAAAGAATTTATTAGTTAATTAATTGTTATGGCGTGGATTTTTTTTTTCTATCAGTGCTTGTCATGCTTAGCACTGAAGGTTAGTGGATTCTGTAATGGTTGTATAATGATCTTGCACGTGCATCTACTGGACTATATTGCCTAGAACCAAAATTTTTTATGTGAAAGTGGATTCTTTTGAACAAAGTTTAACACCCAAAGGCCTAAACAGTTTGGGGGCGTTTGCTTCAGTTTTTTTCTTCTTTTTTTTTTGGGTAAAAAAAATATCAATTATCAATTCTAATTAAATAATTTAAATATTTTAAATTATAAATAATAATAATTATCGATAACTGATACCTAAACAACTAATTCAAACAGTTTTTTAGTCTGTTGAAATGAAATCCATCGAACCCAATAATTAGTGGACTATAAAGCCCCAGCATCTATAAATTAACCACGACATCAACCACACTGCAGAATAGCTCCATTCATTGGACATCCTATAAATATAACTGCTTGTACACCAATTCATTCTCCATAAACGTCCAAGCAAAATTAAGAGAAAAACACAGAATAATACAATATTTACTACCATATGACTAAAGCATTAAAACTGCATAATTATGCAGCTGCAAGTATGCATAAGAAGAGAATATGAAATGCAAAATTAAAAGGCAAAATCTATTGAAAAAATGTAGCTACCTATGGCAGCCCCCGATGACTACGTACTTGATCGATTCCTGTAGTTTTTTTCATTAATTATCTCAACTTCATGTTGTAAGGATGCTCCGGCTTAGCAAAGTCTGCTGAGCCACTATGTTAAGTCAGAGCATCCCTACAACAAGAAATTGAGAATAATGAA